AATGAAGTCACAGTCGTCCATTAAGTAAAAAATGTTCCTGGGCTAGTTTTACCATCGTGCGGGCCTATTTATCTAACAACTTCTATTTTTGGAATGAAAAAGTTAAAAAGTTAATTTCGGCCAAAATGTAACAAATTTTGTAGATCACGGGACTAGGGTTGGCAAATTACCGTAATTTACCATAAATTTGAGAAAGTTTCAGAAATGTAATTTTGATCATGTGGATTATTTTTTGCCAAAACTTTTCTAAATTTTGCATAAAAGTAAGTATAAAATTACAGTTTCGAACGTAATGATGGATAATTATTAATGCTGGCAAAACTTTTGTAATGCTGGTCTATTTAATGTAAAGTTACATTACAGTTTCGTAAGTTATAATGGAATTTCATGCAACGTAAAATGTAATTTATCTGTTATGTAATGCCAACCCTAGCCTTGACAAAATTGATGCTATAAAAATCCAGAATTTGAAGAAGAATTTCGCCTGAAACATTAGTCAGCAGTGACAGTGCCCGGATATTATTTAGAGTGGTATCTAGTATTAGAAAGGGCTATAATCAGTGTTATAAATTCGATAAATCTTTATTGGCGCAAACGCAACAAAAATATGCACAAAAAAGAAATTATACGCGCTTTATATATACGGAGAGCACTGATATATGCGCAAATTTAAATCCATTATGCTGTGCTTACTGCGCGGTTCCAATTTACATCACTGGTTATAGTATATAGTAAAATTATGCAAGAAATATTTTTAAGACACAAAAGTAGGAGTTATTTTGATTTGAAAATTTGAGGCTTCAATCTGATTGGCTTGGGACTGTAATCGCCGGGCAACAAATAAATAATTATCAAAATCTTTTTGCTCAAAGTTATTTGATTTGAAGTTTTTTTTTTTTCAAAAAACTTTGAGTAAAGATATGCATCTCAAACTAAAGCTTACTGATTTTTTATTTGAATAATTTGGCAGTAAATACTTATTCGAGTATTTGCCAAGCAAATACTATTTCTAGTAAAGCGCTATTTATTCGAACAGTTATTGGGAACAAAGCGACTAGTAATATATGGGTGACACCAAGATAATGCTACAAATCGGCAAAATTTTTCAATCGATTAGTTGGTTAATTATTTTTCCAGTTGGTTGCAACTAATCGGTTAATCGACGAGTTGCAACTAATCGATTAATCGATGAATTGAGACTAATCGATTAGTTGCAACTACTGTAATTCATTAAGTAAATAAATAATTTTTCAATCGATTCATTTGCAACAATCGATTAATTCTTTAGTCAATTAGTTGCAACTAAACGATTAGTCGATTAGTCGATTAATCGATTAATCGATTAATCGATTAGTTGGTGTCTAAAAAGTTCAATCGATTAGTTGTCAACTAACCAACTAATCGATTTTTTCAATGTTCGATTTGTAACACTACCGCCAAGAGCAAACCAAACTTCGAAGTCTGATTTTCCCTTGACATACGTACCTATAATAGTTACTATATATAGAGCAGCCAATGACTGAAAATTCACATGATGAATAGTAAAAATTATTCGAATAGCTTTGCTTATTCGAACAATATTTGTTTATTGGCATTATTTATCAGATAATTATTTATTCGAATATTTATTGAATATAAAATAAAGCTCTGATCTCGATAGCAACTTAGTGAAATTTGGTTATTTTTATACCTGTTAATATAGAATATTTTTTACTTTATTTCACTTACTTTAATTTAGTTAGAGTTCAACAATCGTTAATAAGCCATTCAAATTCATTAATATTTATCATTACCCGGTTTTCATTGTAAGTGTGGAATTTATATATCAAGTATTTAAAACAGGCCATTCAAAATCTATTAACATAATATTAATATTTCACTTGTCATTTAATTTGTGCTAAGCTAGTCAATTAATTTCGAATATAAAGATTGGTAAAAATCTATTCACATCGATTTAGCAGGTTTATAAATACTGCAATAGTTTATAATTCAAAACCCTCTTATACGCGTTTAGCGAAAATCCATTGTGATATGCTCGTAGTATATACATAGATTGTTTAGTACTGTCGCTTTAAAAATTTTATTTGTCAATTACAAATGATTCTAAATTGGTTGGTTATTTCCTAATGAAGCAATTTAATAGTGTTAGTGTTAGAAAAAATTTACATTCAAAGTAATTTAATGGGGTTAGCGTTAGAGAAATTTACCAATCAGTTGATTAATTTATTGTTACCCGGTTATAGAAAACGCCAATCAGATTATTTAATCGAAAAAATTAACTTGTTTTGGCTCATAACCAAGATTCGAATAGAATTTTTTTGAAACGTAATACCTATAAGAACACGCACAGGCCAACTATTATAAGTATTATAACGGAAACTCTAAGAACTTTTTTGAGCATATGATAATGTGTTTGTTTAATAAAGGGTTTTTTGTTTCAAAAACATATCTGCCGAAGGACTATCATCTAAGCTTCAAAGAAATTAATTATACAGAGCAGCCGGTTTGAAACCTAATTATCAATTATGAAACTAGAAAAGACATTTTTGTTTGTCATTTATATTATCACAGGCAAAAATCTGACTTATAGACGATTAGGCTGCAAAGTGCTTTTCATCTTTTTTGCACCCGAGTTGGTGATCTAATCCTGTCACTCCTTTATTCCCTTATTCTTGTTGGACAACTACGTTAACTTTCTTTCTAACTTTGTAGTTACGTGCATAAATTTTATTAAAGGTTCAGATGAACTTTAACTTCTCATAAATATATAATAGTTTTCATACTTCGACTATTTGAGATAAAATCAAAAATGAATTTTTTTTGAATATGTTAATTTTAAATAACGACCAACACGTAAGAAATTATTATTCCAACGAAAACTTATATAAATAATAAAAAGGTGTCACCTGACCTCAGAGAAGTCAAGATGGTTCCAGCAAACAGAACAGCAATTCAAATATGGATAATATCTCAACTATTCAATGTCATACCTTTATTCTTTTTATGCCTCCAATTTCTTTATAAAGGAAAACATTATACTATGGCTTGCCTTAGTTTAACCACGATATTTGATTGCATAATAAGCGTACCCATTGCTTTGAAGTATCATTTTATCGACACTAATTCAGCAATTTCAACACCTCAAAATATTTCAACAAACGAACCGATTAATGATAATGATACTTATTCTACCAATAATACAGACAATGGATTTTGGAATGGAACTTCCCCTGAATTTTGGAATGGAACTTCAACGGAGATGTCACTAATTCTTACCACTGACACCACTAATTTGGAACCAATTTGCATCGTTCAGGCTTTCTTATTATATTCTACACAATTGAGTATTGGATTTTGGATCCTTTGCTTGATGATTAATATGTGGCTGTTGTTGGTCAAAGCTACAAGCGACATTGAGGTCAAATGGTTCAAGGTACGTACAGTATAAATTGAGTTTAAGAATAAATTTAATACATTCGCATACCAATGTAATACATCTCGACACATCCTAACAATATAGATCCACATAATACTCTCCTGGTGTGTTCCTTTATTCTTGACATTCGCTACATTCATGCTTCTAAAGTCGCAAGCCAACTTTGGTGTTACCTCATCCTACTACCATTGTATAGTCACAGGTGGACTTATTCATCTTGCCATAAACCACGCTCCTTTCTTGCTGTGCATGTTTATAGGTATTGGTTTAGGCGGTAGGTGGTTATAATATGAATATTCAAAGTTCATATACAGTATTATAAATATTTAGATCTTATCATAAATCTCTATCATATTATTATTAGTTCATGCGTCATGGGTATTGATCACATATCGGGCAAAATTCTCCAAACAACATAAAGCAAATAAATTAAAAATTCCAATGGGGTACTTAATCATATGAGTAGGTTTGAATTTTTGCATACATTTACTCAAATTTCATCCTATGCGTTTAGGTTATGCATACGAATGTTCCTATTTTGTGTCCTTTTTATTACCTTGCTTTTTATAAAAGTTGGTATGTTTAAAATTATTATTTCTTGAATACATTTCATTCGTCAGTTCATTTTAAACCAAATATTTTTTTTTGTTTAAAAAAAAAAATAGTTCAACCGCTTGTCGATATATTCGATCTTATAAAAGTTATTGCAACGTCCCCTATTTGCTACACGATGACTCTATTATCCCCACATCTAAATGCTTATTTCAACACAATCCTGACATTTGGTCTCTTCTTAATTTTTGGTACAACAAAAGAAGCTCTACGTTCTTTATTTCTCTGTACATGTTGTTTTAATGTGTGCGGCTGTTCAAAACCCATATTCCGTCATCGAACATCGATTGCTACTTTTATTGGTGAACCTATGCAAAACTCATCAAGTAACAACGCAACAATAATGGTGGATGATGGAGGAAATGGAAATATTGAAATAGATCCAGAGATGGAAATTACAATTGTTGAGTCACCACCTAGCACTTTCGGAAACTTGAAAAGAACAACATCATTCAGTAGATATAAAATAGGGGATGATGTTTTAAAATTTGATGAATTTGGATTGACTCACGTATTTAGAAGTTATAGTATTGGTAAAAATGGTCGTCACAATTTTAGAGGGAATAGTAAAGTAGATAAAAATGGCAGTGACAGCACAATTAATAGTGTTAAAAGTTTTAAAAGTTTAAAAAGATTTCTTGAAAATCAACAAAATGATAGAAATGGAAATGAAATAAGACAAAACGGAGGAAATGAATACGCGAACGATGGTAACACAGTAGAAAATAAAATCACAATAGGTTTGACGGACAATGACCAGATAATTTCCGCCACTTTACCTTCTACACCACCACCGCCATCTATTCATTTAACGCAACCTAAAACTCCAGGGTCAATGAGAAATTAATACGTACGTACGTATATAATAACGAATTGATGTCCTTTGTATATCTTTTTGCATAGTTTTTCTTCTATATTAGAATAGATGAATTCTACAAAAAAAAAAAATTTGATTCTCGTAAATAAAGAAAACAAAAATAAATTGATAAATTTAAGTACTTACATATGTTGAACGGTTCTTGATAGTAATATAGTAATACTATAAATATTTTTGAGCGAGTATTTGTCGATAATGTAGCAGCTTAAATGTTTAAACCGAATATTTATCTGTAAAGATAGCATTTTAAAAAAGCGCCGGGAATAGCTGAATTTTATAATATAGAGATATAGTACTTATATAAATAGATTTTCAGTATTGGACTTGCTCAGATTTTTACTTAGATTCAAATTATGAATGCGCACTAAATGTAATTGTAGATTTGAAAAGCAATTTTCTAACTTTCAAATTATGTAAAATTTTGGTTTTTATAAAATTTATTCGTTTTTATGGAATGTAAACGAATCTTTAAATGTTAAAAACAAATTACTGTAGCTTTATTGATTAATTTTTTCTTATTTGGTGCCAGACTCTCGATGTATTATTGTTTAACGAAATAGATGAATATTCCATAAATGTTTAGTTTCGTTACAAAATACACATATTGCAAAGAATAATTATGCAACTATTTATTGATTTTTATTTAATTAATTAGTCTTTATAATGGTTAGAGATGTTATCTGATCCGGTCTTGGACAAAGACTGCAGTCCGTCAGAGGACCAACGAGAAGCTGATCTTATTCGGTCTAGTCTTAGCGTTAGCGTTAGTCTTAAAATAGTCCAGACTGTGATCTTAAACTAGTCTTAAGACTGGTCACAAAACCATTTTTATTATAAATTCGAACTGAAGGTCATGAGTTTAGACTGAAGTCTGGACTACGAACAGCACATTTTAATGAGCGGTTTTAGATCGGTTTCCTATTATGAATTTAAATTGTTGGCTCTCTAAACTATTTTGGAACTAAACCGTAATTAAACCAAAAAAGACCCAACTGAGCTAAACATACCGAACCGGACTGTTAACATCCCTAATAATGGTTAAACATAAAAGTCGGCTAATATCTCAAGACCTCGTGATTAGAACTTATGAAATATTCTAAATAGGGCCCAGCATGTACCCTAATAAAACACAGAGCCAGGGGCACTATGTTTTAATAGTACGTGTGCCGGCACTTGCAGAACCTTAATTCGAAGTATTCCAGAACTTGACGCAGCTGAGATGATAAGAATATGTGCAATTGAAAAGAACTAAGATAATCCAAGAGGCATGAATAGGTTATCAAATTTTTTTCACTTAGATTAATATAAAAAACACTGTCTTTATGTGTACTCATGTCACAAGTAATAATTCGATTTTATTGTTATATAGTAACTTAATATCAATATGTTTACAGTTTAGCACAGCATATTTCTGATTGATTCATCAGATCACAATCATTATAATTCTTCAATTCTTTCTTTTCCTGCTCCAGTAAAACGTAATTTCTCTTCGGATATTTCTTCAGTTTTATTTTGAACCCATAATTTCACATCCTTTGTTGTTTTATTGATGTCTTCAAGAACAATCGCTAGCTCTGTTACCCCTTTAGTTAAAAATTCAATTTCTTCGCCTATTAACAAATATACAATTCAGAATAGATCATAACAATAGAGATTGTTCTGAATTTGTTTTTAAAAAAAATTACCGATTTCTTTGAGTTCTTCAACATCGATATTAATAGTTGTTTGATTACTTTGCTCAGCAATTGAAACCTTTTCGTGAACTATTTCAGCTCCTCGAAATCTACCAATTAATTGCAATATATTATTACCAGTCATTTTCGGTGAATCTTCATTTTTAAGAGTGTCTTTTTTGAACAAGGAGTGTTCTTTGAATTTAGAAGTAGCATCAGAGAAATGAGATTTTAATGAAGAAAACATGATTTAAAAAGTTATTCTTAAAGCCGGAATATGAAAAGACAATTATATAAATATTTGAAAGTCATGCACGTTGTAACATTTTTATATTCATTCTTATTATCTAACGCCAACATTTAGTTTTATTTTATTTATATATTTATATATCTATCTATACAATTAAAACAAACTTGTCAAGTACTGAGCTAGTTTGATTTTTTTTTTCGTCATTATGACTTTTGAAAATTATTTACAAACTAAAAAAAAAAAAAAAATTAAAAATACATGAATTTCAACTCCGAATAATTAGACTCAAGTGCCCAGTACTAAACTACTTCCATTAAGCTTTTTTTGCTTTAGTAATATAATATGTTTTGTTATAAGAATGATAGAAAAAGATAGTTTAAAATTGAAAAAATCTAAAAGAAATTTTTTTCTTAATATGTTTCAAACTTTTCATCCTTAATCTAAAAAATTTCGGTCAGACCGTTCAAAGTAACTTTCGATATATTCCTTATATTTGGCAGGCATAACTCTTAACCAGTATTCTTTTTCTGGAATGGCTTTTTTCTGGGCCTCCAACATACGAAAAACATTTTTTCTTGATGGAGACCAAACGATAGATTCATTGAACCTGGCAACATTTTCTATGAATATCAATAAAAAATTTTTTTTAATTTCTACTAATATTGAGAAATATGAAATGGCTTGGCTTAGATGACAAAAAAAAAAAATTTACCTGGATCTTCAGGGTTCTTAGGTACATCTTTGAATAATTTAACTCCTTTGTAAGTTCCATAAACGACCATTTCAATTTTTTCTCTCGCCAAAGATAAATCAGGTCTTTGTAAGGCTTTAATAATTCGTGCAAAATTAAAATGTCCTCTGAATTCAACATCCAACAATATTATTCCTGCAGCATCCTCAACACACTTACATTGCCAAAATGCCATTCCAATTTCATCACTTAATAAATCTGAATAGGATTTAATTATTGCTGCGGTTTTTTGTTTTAACGTCTCGGTTACGTATTCATTAAAGTTATTTGATATTATTATGTCTGCCGTTGATTCAGAAAATGGTTCATGATATTTTATTGGTTCTGATTCAACGGCTTCACGACGTACTGAGTTTTGACGATGTAAGAAAGACTGTAAGAATGTTGCTAATTGGACTTTTGGTGTATATCTTTCAAAGAATGTATTTACAAGATCTGTTTGATTATTAGTAAATTGAAATTCTGGTATTTCCAAGATGGATTCGATAGTGTGAGTGGAATCTGCAATCAAGGATTCAAAAACCTTGCTAAGTCGTAGAACAGTTTCAATCGAGCTATTTACTGATTGTTTTATTATTGTAATAAAGCTTAGATCTGGTATTTGATAAGTATTACTATCATAAAGTTGAATATTAGCAGTAGGAGGGTCAATGTTCAGTTTAGTTTCTGTTGTTTCTTTTGTAGATTCAACATGGACGATATTATCAGTATCCCTTAGTGCTTGGCGAATTGCGTTAGAGTAACGTAAATTGCCTCCCGTATTTGGTTTATTCATGCTTTTGATGTATTGACCATAACTAGCTTCATACTCCTTAATTGGTTCATCGATGTATTTCTTTTTGTTAATGCCCAAAACTTTCTCAATATTTGACATTTCATTTTCAATCACTTCAAATTTGTTAAGTCTTCTTCGGATTAACTCTTCGATTAAATATACAACTAACCCATCTTGTAACCATCTTTTAACGTCTTGGGGACTAATATCTCCACATCTTAAGGCACATAGCATATGACCAAGATAAACAAAATTATTGGCAACAATGTCTATGGTACGGTTCGCTGGTGATTTCATGTAATTTTCGAATAAATTTACGTTTTCCTTACGGAGGTTATTTGATTGTCTGTATATTGCATCACATGTTTCCAATATCAATTTAAATTGATCTCTTCGGAACTCTGTTGATGTATCATTGAGAGCTTTTGCTAATACTAAAAAGGGAACTGTAATAGAAAATTTTTATTGCTATTTAGTAATTATTATTTTATAAAGCACCCAAGAGTCTAAAGAATTTGTTACTCACTAGTAGTGACTTGCGCGTATGAATAACCAAACATATCGAGTGTAGTTAGATACCCAAATATTGGCTAATAATAGTAAACATTAGTTATTATGTATATCATAGTAATGTAAATGCTTTATAAGTGGGTGAGGAATTTAAGTGTACTAGAATTTTAGGGTAGAATTTATCTTATATAAGCCTACACTCTTTAACTTTAAATCTTAAGAAATTCCAAATCCACTTCAATTCTGTTCTCACACACGACATAATATAAATTCCATTTTTCTTACCTTCATTCTCTCTTTAGCAATTGACCAATGTTTCTCATTAATGTATAATGGAAAGACTCCTTTTTTAAACAAAAAACAAAAATGAGTCAATAAATTATAAAATCGAAATTACAAACATCACAATTCTAATGAGATTAATGAACCTGTAATATTTTCATTTGCTACACCATGTACGATGCTAGCTATAAATGAAGCCGGTTTAAAGCCTCCATGAACGTCTTCAGCGTCATAAGATTCATTTAAGGCAAATCGAACAGAATCCAAAAACGCACCAGAACTTAAGAAGGTTTGATTAATCGCTTTAATATTAATTAATGAAGGGTCTGCAATGGCTGCTTGAGATCGTGCAACATCAAGGGCTAGACAAATACATTCTCCTCCTTTCATTGCTTCGATGTAATTATCTGTGGTAATGAGGCAAGTAAATTTTGCTTTATTATCCTCAGACTCTTGACTATCCAATTCATCAAAGTCAATTGACTTTACGAGTTCTTCAATCTTTTTTTCGGATTCTTCCATTAAGTCGATGTTTTTAATTGCTCGATCTCCAAGTTTATTTCTTAGTCTTTGCTTAGTTATATTCTTATATGCCAAATCATTGAAACTTGCGATTTTTTCATTAGTTAATGTGCCCTTCAATGCTCTAATAAGTAATGAAAAAAATGATTATAGGTTAGAAATAAATAAAATATTAGTTCTCATGAATATTACAAATGAAGATATATAACATACTCTGATAAGAGATTCTTAAATTGGTGCATAACAGGTTTAACTTCCATAATTTGCTGTATAGTCGAATTACGATTGAAAGATTTTGATTTAAAAGTAGTTTCCAACATTGAATTTAATTGTTCATTATATTTATTAGCTTGTTCCAAAATTTCATCAAGCCTTTCACGTTTATTGGCATAATTATTCTTATGACTTAAAACTTCATTTGTCATTTGTGTGATCTCAAATTGGATTTGGGAAATTATCAATAAAGTCACCATTGGATCGTTAGCAGGAATTTGACTAGGGAGTGTAGGAATTTCATATTTTTTCGAGCTTTCCAGGTCTTTTAAAATGGCAATTTTTTTACCAGCAACATTAGTTGCAGTTCCAGAAAGAAAGAGTTTTCCATATCCTTTATCATCAAATGTTGTTGGTAATGGTTCTTGGTCTCCGACTTTTACGTAAAGAGTTAGATCGTTTAATTCCAATAATTTTTGAGTTGTTTCCATAGTTTCGACAATCTTTTCACTTTCATTGACGTACTGGAAATTGCCTTCTTTGTTTCCAGCTTTAGTCAACCAAGAAAGAAGCGCTAATTGAAAATCACATTGAGATGAGTAATAAATTTATTTAAAAGATTCATACGTTTTATAAATTTTTTAATCAAAATTTCTTACCAGCATCGTGACTTCTCGTGAATCCTATAGTATGAACTTCGGTAGAATAAGAAGTTGTCGACAAAGCTGTTTCCAACATTTTTTCACTTTCTTTAAGTCGATCAGCACCACTTCCATCTTGGCCATCAGTGAAGAAGATGATAGCTACATCCTTATCAATTATTTTAACTTCCTTGATGATAGAATCAAAAACGGATACAAAGCTTGTACCTAATTTATATATAAATTCAAATGAGAAACTTTTTGTTTCATATCATAAATGGATGGATCAATTCAGAGAATTTACCTCCATATGAATGAACGCGATCGAAATATTCCTTGATTCCGCCATTATTCCAACGTAAATTCGGACTATCAGCAAAACGAACTACTTCGCAAGATGATTGATAAAAGAAACAAGTAACATCTTTCTCAGAAAGGATACCACCGGTGAATAAACTGTCCAACAAATAAAGAATAGCTTTTTTGGCCTGAGTAAGACCCGATCCTGCCATTGATCCTATAATCAATTATGAATTAGCAAATATACAAAATCAGTAAAGAATATATATATATATATATAAACATCGGAATGGAATTGATTACCTGAAATATCAAGGCAGATGAAAAGTGAAAGTTTACGACGTTTATTTTCAAACCATTTGTTAATCAGATTTTCAGAAACTTTAACGGACAAGACACTTTTGTCTTCAGACAAATTAAAGTATTTGACATCCGATTCGGCCATGGTTCTCAGTAGTTTTTAATGTGAAAAGATTTATTTTTTGAATAAACGACGAAAATTTTATCGAAACTAATATCGAAACTATCATTAAATAAATAAATTCAATTACTGCGTATGTGATATGCAGAATTCCGTTGAAGGTTTATTCTGCGGCTTAATTTACGACTTTATTGTCCTTATGCTACGCATCATTGAAATTGGTACGCCATTTACACATAATGAATTGTCACTACTTATTGGAAATTTGGTCACACATACTTTCTCCTTAATTGGCCATAATTAGTTAAAGTTTTTGTTTGTTTGTATCAGTATGATGCCATGGCTTAACACCAGTAACCGCCCATTTAACATTTTATCAAAATTGTAACCGTAGCTATTAAGGGTAGATAGGTTACGCGACAATTTTTATATGACAACTAATAAATTGAACTTGTTTGTTTTTATTATTCTTTTTGATTCTAGCGAAAAGCCTAACTAGCTTTTGCTTTCTTTACATATTTATATT